ATACTTCCTCTATTGTATATCTTCTTTCACAAACAAAAAATGTAGATTTATACACATGATTTTTTTTAAAACTCCATCTATAGTAATGAGAAAGTATTTTTCAATCATAGGCTGACTCATCAGTAAATACAAGCTATAATAAGAAATATTATAATATATGCATTATAAAATTTAATCTATTAATTTTCATTATACTCTTTTACTAGTTTTGATAACTAAAAAAATAAATCATAAACTTTATTATATTTATAAAAAAAAGACTAACAAGATTCTCAGCAATAAAATTTTCAAATGTCTCATTTATTTCAGATATTGCTATAACGTTGTAAAAAATTTTTATGTCAATGTGATGCAACTTCTTTTCCTGTTAAAGAACTAATATTAGATGTAAAAATAAGATAGAATTCTACTTATAATATAATTAAACATAGTTTTAAATTATGTGAGGTTAGTATTTTATATTTATTATTATAACTAAATTTGTAAAAATTTATTAATTATTATAATTATTAAAAGTTTTAAATAATACAGGATCATCTGAACAGGAATTAAAATTATATGTCTTAAATGATTTTGAATGGAATTTATTAAAAGAAATAGAAAATTTATTAGAGATAAGAAATAATATAATTAATTGCATTATAATAATAATTTTTTTAATTAATTTATTAAATTTATAGTAATTTGCATGAATAATAAAATATGTTTTACATAAAAGTTTTCTAACTTTAACAATTATAATACCAACCTATAATTGGTTAATGAATATGATTAAAGATTTTCAAATAAAAACTTTAATAACGGAAATAAATACTACTGTAGCAGTAGCATTAAAATATTGAAAAAATATTATCATTATATATATTCTAATGCTTATTCTATTACTACTAGTAAGTTTTATATTTTTATTATTAATTTTAATTTATAAATTATTAATTTATTATTATTAATTTATAGTATTTGATCCAAGATTAAAATTATCATATTATATTGATAATCATTAGAAAGTAAATTTTATTGAAGAATTGCAAGAAATTTTTACTTCTTATTTTAATATGCATTATGCATTATCGATAATAGATTTAGAAAATCTAAATGAAAGTTTTGAAGATGATGATTTATTAAATCATATATATAAAAGACAATATGTAGAAAATATTAATGAAATAAAGCATTATCTTAATGTTCCACTTGTATCTTTAAAGACTAATTTATTATAATGATGAAAAGTAAATAATATATTTATTAATAATTTTATATTAGTTTTAAGCTTATTAATTTTATTTTTTTTTAGTTAAATGAATCACAATATCCTTATTTAACAAAAATGGCAAGAGATTTATTAGCTATTTTAGGTGAGTAAATTTAAAATTTTATAAACTTTTATAACTTTAATTTAATCAATCTAATTTATTTATATTTATTTTTTAAGCTACTAATATTTCGATAGAAAGAGTATTTTCTAAGTAAATTAATCTAATTATACAAAAAGATGTAATCTATCAGCAGAAATAATTAGAGTATGTATATGTCTTAAATCTTGATGCAAAACTGTTTTAAAGAAAATATAATAATTCTTTAATTTGTGCTTTTTTTAAATAAATAATTTTGTATTATTTTTTTTTTATGATTTTGATTTAATAAAATAATATATAAAATTTATAATATAATATAATTTAAAATAAATTTTTTATTAAAATTTGACTTGAAACTTGATTTGAACTTGACTCAACTTGAATAAATTCAAGTCAAAATTGAATCAAGTTAAACTCAAGTCAAGTCAAATTGAATCAAGTTTAAAATTTATATAATTTGAATCAAATCAAATTGAAAAATTTTATAAAATAAATTTGACTTAAATAAAATGAGTCAAATAGAATTAGTCTTTAAACTTGACTCAATTTGACTCATTTAGAATTCTATTCTATTTATTATACTATTGCTAAAATATTTTGATATTTTTTAAAAATTTAGTATAAATAGTTTTATAAATCAAAATCAAAAAAATCAGACATGTAAATCTTAGTCTAAAATCAGCTTAAAATCAGTAAATTATTAAAATTGGCTTAGCTAATCAGCATATATTAAAAATCAGCTAAAATTTGATCAAAATTTAACTTATCTTATTATGTCTAATTGGTATACATCAAAAATTAGCTAAAATTCAACCAAAATTTAATCTATTTTATTTATAATCAATTGATATTTAATTAGCATATAAAAATTAGCTAAAATATATTAAAATAAAATAAATTTCAAAAGAAAATATAACTGATATTTTATATTTAAATTATAAAGATTATGTTAAAAAATATTCAATTTATTTACAAATGGTATTTTTTAATTAGATTTACAACCTTATATTCTTTTGCATTTTATTAGATTGAAATTTAATAATTTATCAGTACAAATATGATAAACAATATTAAACAATCATGATTTTTTGATAAAAATCAGTATCTTATAATTTGATATTTTTTTGCTAAAATAATATTAAATATTTAGAGAACTTAGTAAAATGAATTTAAAGGTGATTTTATTATTTTATTATAATTAATCATTTTAATAAATTGTTTCTAATTTACTTTAAATCTTATATTGATTTAATATATAATAAAAGTATTATTTCTAATTTACTTTAAGTTTAGTAAAGTATTGTTTTTGATTTATTTTAAGTTTATTTTGCTTAAATATATTAATTAATTATTTCTAATTTATTTTAATTCTTAATATATAATAAAAGATTTGTTTCTTATTACTTTAAATTTTATTTAATACATAATTAATGTATTAATTATATTAAAAATTATTTTTAATTTATTTAAATTTTATATTAATTTATTATTACATATACTTATTGAATGTATTTTTTAACATATAGATAAATAAACTTTTGTATTTTCACTTTTTAAAAATAATTTCAATTTAAATTTTAACTTTTTATAATCAAATTTTATTTTTTTAAATTTTTTTTATTATAATCAAATTATAAAATGTTACAAAATTACTAAAAAAAAATCATTATAAGAATAAAAAGACTAATAAGTTGAATTTTATCAATCAACCAAATAACTTTTTAAATGTAAACTGAGAATGTAAGTTGAATTTTTAATAAATCAATTGTATTAATTTCGTAATAAAATAATAGACAAAGTTAGCAATAAAGCTTGTTTCATCAAACACCTCTATCACATCTTTATATTTATCCTCATCTATCTATTTCTTTTGGCAGCAACATTGGTACACTTTGTTTGATAGTGCGCCAAACTTTAAAATTGGCATGAAAACATTTATATGTATCTAATTTAGACTAATCGGTCCAATGGTACGTTAAGATGTAAAAAGTATTCATATTACAGTTAGCTGCTAATTTTTAAAATTTCGAAGTCAATTTACGTGATCGACATGGCACAGCAGATTACTAAAAAATTATATGTGTGAACTTACCAAAACTATTAGATAATTGAATAAGTCTTTCATATGTAACTGAACCATGTTTGCAGTTTCATATTTTATACATATTGTACAGTGTTATTTATACTGGTTAATTTCACTTCGCGACGTTAAACCAATGTAAATAATACCGTACAATCTATATTATTGTACAGCTAATGCAGAACTAATTTATTAATGTATCAAACCAACATTCATAATTAGTATTAATGTTGCATTCTATTGATATTACCACCTGAATAAAGTAGTTTAATTCTTAAGTAATTTAGCGTGTTAGTTGGTTAAAGAGAACGATTCATTATCTAGTTTAACAATTTATACATCATTCTTCTAAATAATTCTTCATGTTATAGTTTAACGATTTATATTATTCTTCTTTGATCAATTCATCTATAATTTTTTCCACGCGAAAATAAAAGAAATATAAAAAAATATATAATTAAAAGTATTGTTTTAGGTCTATAAACCACTAGGACATGAATTCTTTCAGTTTCAAAGCAAATTTTAGTTAAAATTATTCTTCAGCAGCAGAATATTGTAAAAGAACGATTAGAGATATTGAACATTATTACATTATATTAACAATATCCGCTTTTCAAATACTTAATTCTCAATTTTTCAAAATGCAATCTTTTATACTTTTTTAATTTATCTAGTTTATTGTGAAGCTGTCTTTTCTCACAACATTGTTTGAATTATTATATTGCAATTCGCATAATCGAATTTGACAAAATATTCTCAATTTTGAATAAATTATAGTTTCATCAAAGGACTTATATTTAAAAATAAGGTGCATTGTTACAGCAAAAACTGGGTCTAGCAACTCAGAGATCATAAAATTATCATCGTAATGATTGATATGTTGCTATGCTATGTGATTTCTGGCAGGAGAAGCCGCATCTACTAGCCGATTCTTTAACCAAGACTTGTTAAAAAGTTAGGGCGTATTTTAAATTTAGATTTTGCAAATATTTAAATTAAACAATTAACTAAATTTCTCATAGACTATATGTTATTAAAAAAAATATGGTTTTTATATATGAAAAATATACTCAATTATGTAGTTTTGAATGTGCCTCCCAGGTTGTTGAACAAAAAATGCTTTAATTAGAAATCTTACATAAGGATCGTTACAACGTAGAAAATTTTTGATCACATTCGGAAGTGTACTAACATTTGCCACCTGCCCACCTAAAGTAAATAACTTCTGGAAACAAAAGGCACTCTATGAATTAACCCATCCATAACTTCAATTAATATAAAACAATTTACATGTCATATTATTTATTCTGATCAATCTTACAATATCATCAGGATTGAACCTTAATTATCACTCTAGGTAAAAAATAACAAGAATCAACAATGATATTTGACTTTATTAATAATTTATATTTCTTGAATGTTTGATTGATACTCGAGGGTATTCTATATTAGGAGAAAATTATTTATTGTCATCAAATATTAATTTTTAATAGTGTTTAGTTCGAAATAATACAAAATTTACGTTCTGAACTTTTTACTATTAGATGGTCTGTCGATTCACATTTATGGCATCCACCATTGAAATTGTGGTAAGGAGTCATTGTTTAGACTTTCTTCTGGTCAAAGGAGAGGATGGCATAGGGTCAACCAGTAGTAGAAATTTTATACACACTGTAGAGGGTAAGAACGCGACAAGGAGAAAGATACAACTAATTAGGTAATGTTATTCAAAATCCACGAAATGAAGTAAATTTTCTAAATTAAACTTTCTATAACATATAATACAATATTATTTCATTTAGAGCGTATCATCTTATCGTAGACGGATTATAAAATTTTGTTTAAAATTTTTTTATAATTCAAAACATTTTTTCTCGGATAAATTTTGAAAAGGTTTTAATAATTAAGTATAAATAATATATAAATTAACCAAATTTTTTATTTAATATAACATACATTGCGGCCGTTCTCAAGTGCCTCCCTCCCTCAATGATTTCTTGAATGATTTGATTGGCTAAAAAATTCGACTGTGATGAACATTTAAAGTCAAAAATACCTGGAGCTACTACCCTTCTTTTTTTTTCATAGAGCTGCGCTGATTGGTCAAATTTTACCATTGATTGAGCAACAATAAATATTGCACAACTTCACTTCTTCTTTCGTATGGATCTTCAGCCTAAAAATTATTATATTCCTTTTTATGTTACAAATTCTTACAGCAAATAAAAGATGTCGAAAATTTCAAATGCAAAGATTTAATATTTACAATCTTCTAACCTTTAATTATGCTATTATGAATTCAATTATTCTTTTCACTGATTTATTAGTAGACGCATCAGAAGTTTTAGTAGTAGAAGCTGAACCTGAGGTTGGAATAAGACTTGGTTCAACAGCTGGTTTAACGGGGTTGAAAAATGGATTATCATCCAAGATTACCGCTTCATATCTTGAAGAAATTTCATTTAAAACCGATAAAAAGACAGAGAGATTGCTCAAACAATGATCAACATTATTTCAATTGATCGTAATGCTTGTGCCATTCAATCACTATCCAATCACATTGAGGGGGGTGCGTGCCGTTACGTTTAGATTACCTGTATAAATAATAATGATTAATAAATAGTATAACATTACATAGAATACCAAAATAGAAACTCGTGTGACCAATTTTGTGACTCGATCTCGAATTTTCTGGGACAAAATTTTCTTTTTTGGAAATTTGTGTAATGCCACGTGATTTCTCCTGATGCAAAGCAGCAGGTTTCGGCTAGTTAGAAATTAACCTAATTAACCGGAAATGGCTTTTTAGCGTTATAATGTAACACAATATTTAAAGACTTACTGTATAAGAATATTTTACACAAAAAAAAAAGGATCGCATATTGAAGCATATCTGTGAAATGCAAATTTCCCAAATAAAAAACTTTTTTAAACTATTTATCAAAAAAAATTATTTTTAACTTACCATTTTTTTTTTTTTTGTTTGACGGATATTTATCAAAAAAAAAATTATTTTTAATATTAAAATTAAATTAATTGAAATCATGACGTGTAAAAAATATAAATTACTTTACATGTTCATGTTAAGTTATTTATTATTTAAAGTTGAGTCATTTACTCCTGAAGGACGTCTAGCTCATTATACTGTCCTAGTTAAAGATAAGCTGTATTTTTTTGGCGGATATGTTGATAATGCTAAGTCTTGCACAAATCAAGTGTTTTATCTCGATTTATCTCAGTCATTTAATTTAACTGCTCAACCATGGGTTTCCCTTACGCAAAATGCCGAAATACCATTCAGAAGTTGCTGGGGAACTGCTTTATTGAATGATAAGGAACAAAATATTTATTTATTTGGTGGATTCATGCGTAATGATCTGAAACAAGATGCTTTTGTATCAAATGTTCATTCATTTAATTTAAATTCCTTATCGTGGAATTTACCTACTATCGAAGGAACTCCACCTGAAAGACGAAGAAATATGAAGGGTGTTATTGATAATACCGGAAAAATATATATTTTTGGTGGATATGCTGATAAAAATTTAGGTTCAGAAACGACAACATATTACAATAATATGATCATCCTAAATACAGCTGAATTATCATGGGAAATAATTGCAGTTAATCAACCTAATGCGCGATCTTCTTATACTGCAACACTATTATCCAATGGAGTTATCGTATATATTGGTGTTTTAGAAGTGCGTGAAGATACTGTACATACAGTTGATATTAAAAGTATTAGTCTTTTTGATACAAAGACCTTATCTTGGTCAATGAACGTATGTATAAATATTATCAAATATAATAAATAGAGTTTAAACTTATAGTTTTATTATATTATAGATAGCGAAATCTTCAAATATAATTCAAAATCGTTATCGTCATACGGCGGTCTTAGGTATATATTTATGTTTTATGCTTTATTTAATATTTTAATATTTTTATTTATTTGCACTTTTATATATTTTATTTTATTAAATAGCTCCAGATGATAAAATCATTATTTATGGGGGTGGTATGGGTAATAATAATGCTCAAGCTGCTCCCGATATGTTTGTTTTAAATACGGTAAGAGAACAATTTGAATTTATTGTGCCGCAAGTTAATTCAAATATTGTTCAGGTTCCATCACTTGCAGCCCATACAGCTAATCTGGTTGGAAATTATATGATTGTGGCTTTTGGTAAGTAAATCTTTTTTACATTGTTTTTTAAAAATAATTCAAAAACTTTAAATTTATTATAATGTATTTCAATAGGAAATATTACACAACCAAATTCTGCTCCATTACCATCCAAAAATCCTAATATTTATATCATGGATATTAGGAACTATACGTGGGTTAATTCATTTGAAATTACAAATGCAAATGTAACAAATTCTGACCCATCATCAACACCACAATCATCGCCAATTATTATTGTTAAAAATAACTCTAATAATGAATTGGGTACAATGAAAATTGCCATTGCATCAATTGGAGGAACTTTGGGTGTTGTTATAATTATAGCATGTGGATTTTTATTTTATAGATGGAATATAAAAAGGAAAGAACATTCTCTTAGATATATTAATGAAGTACATAATTTACCTGGAAATGTTGTTGAACATAATATTTAAATTTTTCTCATAATTATTCCCTATAAAAATTTGATTTGGTTTATAATTGAATAAAATTCGTTGTCGAACTTGCAAAGCTTATTAAACTTCCAATTATATAGCTGCAGGGTTTAATTTCTGATCTCGCTATAGTCATATCACATTTTTTATTAGTATATTAGCATAACATCAATTTGTATAATTAAATATGCTTGTCGATTATCTCTTTTTTTAAAAAAAAAGATTTAAAAATTATAATTGAATTGAAAAATTGTATGGTTTATGAGTAAATGTCCCATTCAAACTAGGTTCGGTCTACAGTCGTCAAAAGCTTTTAACCAATCGATCTTAATTGACCGAACCGACCGCTGAACCATTGAATTGTCACATATTATTAGAAAGATTTTATCAAATATAATGGTTTTTTTATTTTTATTTTAATATATTAACATGGAATTTTTTAAACTTCATAAAAAGAAAAAATTTTTTTATTATATTAATATTTTGATCTATATATTTATTTCTTTATTTAGGCTTACACCTTGATATTAATTTTCTTTCATTAAGTTTACCTTCATAATTAGTGGCACAGAATTATCGTTTGGATTTTAATGATTTAAAAAAATTTTTTTTAAAATAATTATATAAATAATGATAAGGTTGCCAGGCAAAACCCGGAAGTTACGACAACATCGAAATCGAAACTCGTCGAAACATTTCATCGAAACTAAAGGATTTAGCTATTTTCAAAGGGATTAACCTTGGCTTGATAATCTTCGATTTCATTTGTTACTTTCCAAATCGTGGGATAAAATAATTGATTTTTGAAAAGAACCTTTCATGTAGAATTCCAAAACTTTTTCATAAAGATATTTGGGAAATATTGGCTTATACTTATGAACTTTTTCAAAAAAATCCGCGGAATCAATACTCGAATATCTAATGAGTGGGATAAATTTATCTAAGGTCTTCTTCAATGCTTCATAATATTCGTCGTCCCAATTAGTTTCATCATCTTTTAGATCAGGGGTTTGTTTGATACCCCATTTAATTAAATAATCCAAGAGAACTGTTTCTTCGATCTGCAGATCAACTCGTTTAAGTAAGACATAATGAATATCTTTATCCAACGATAGAAAATCCATTAATGTAATAAATGGTGAAGGATCTTCGCAGATTATTAGCAATTAATTTTAAAGGCTTTATGAATAACAAGAGCGATATTTTGTTTAATCCAGTCCGACCGAAGTTTAATTGAATATGATTAATTAATCTATTGAAATGTAATTCGTCGGATGCGTCCAGAAGACTAAGAATTTCTGTTCCTGAAAGATTGGTTAAATCCAATAAATATACCTTATTATAAAGGAACAAAAGAGGAAGATAGTTAATTAAATGAAAGTGATTTTACAAAGTCATAAATCTCATATTGCATACTTGTGGATTAGGTCAAAAGTGGTAGGATTAATGTTTGGTTCCTTGAGTAACAAAAATAAGTTATTCGACAGTATTAGTTTGATGTGCATTTTCGCAATAAGGTTAGCAAGCTCATAGAAATGATGAATGAGCAGGAAATTCTTTAACATTTGGATTTTTTCCGACTTGAATCATTACATTATGATTTCCAATATCTTTTAACGTTGATGAGATTCTGGTTTTGATCCTTGTAGCCATTTTCTTATCCTTTAAAAAAAAGGAAGTTGAATTTATTATGTTCTTTTGAATATTTCGAAACATTTTGCTAACAAATTTCATAAAATTGATAGTTTATGCTGATCATTCACTAAATACGACTCTTCTATTTTAAAATAATAAATGCAACGTGATAAAAATTTGATTACGATTCGTTTAAATAGATCATGTATTACAAAAAATTAAACTAAATTGAGATAGCAGTTTCATTCTAACCAAATAAGTTAATTCCATTTTCAAATATTATTAAAAATTAACAGTATTTATTTCCGGTAAATTTGTACAATACGTATTTCTAACTATCGTTTGAATCATTTATTACGTTTTTTTTAGTCAACACGTTTTCCTATTGCTAGACAGGTATTTTCATATTTTACACTGTAGTTCCACTTTCGTCGTTAGGTAGAAATATGAATTCCTACTTTATTTTCGATTATAAATGCAGCGGAAACTTGATTCTGAGTGCACAACACAAAATTTCCAATACACGTGCCGAATTCATCCTGAATCAAGATTTAATATCTCTTTATATGATAGAAATATTGGTAACGTGCGTCAAAATAATTTCACAGACAACGAAATCGTTTTTCACTGTTACAAAAGGAAACATTCAAAAATTCACTTAATAAAGAAATGTGAAATCAACAAAACTTGGAATTTCGTTTTACCATGAACATTTTTTCCTTTTTTTTACCTATAACTCTAGCTATTATTGATAAATGAAGTTAAAAAAAGAAAAGTTCGCAAATTTTTCGATCACATGGGCTAAGTAAATAATCGGGTCTCAAGTCATATAATTACGTCTAAAATTAATACTGGTCAATTCGACAGTGGATTTCAATAATTTTGCTCTACAATTTTTATAAATCTTTTCGATTTTATTTTTTTTTTTAGAAAAATTAAATTTCAAAATCACCTTTTTTTAACAATTGGATTACATTATTGAAATATATATTTATATTTATGGTTTAGATAAGCAATTGTTTTAAAATGAAATACAATTTATTTTTATTCAAGAAAAAATACGAATATTTAATTATTATTATTATTATTTTTAGTTTTTTTTTTTTATCATGCGGGAATTGATTAACTGAAATCTCAATCGAGATAAATTAATTGATTTAAAGAAAACAGAAATCATTTTAATGAATAATTTTACATCGCAATTTGTATAATTAAAACCTTCGGCTACATTTTAATTGTTTA